CCAATGAAATCCACAAGGAAGAGTGTGAAAGGCAAAATCTACCTTCTCCAAGACTTTTTATATTATCAAATATAAAATCTCTTCTCTCTTCTCCCGAAAGATCTCATGGGGAGTTTTATTCCTCTGGTTTCCTGTGACTGCAGAAGGGAGTATCTCATTCCCAGGAGCAGCGTCTGCTCGTTATCTAATTGCTGATTAACATCAAATTCTGCATCCTGGAGCTGCAGGCAGGTCCCAGGTGAGCTGTTGGGAGCACTGGGCACAGAGCCAGGGCTTGTTCCTGCCTCTCCTGGACCAAGGAAAATTGTACCCCTGGCACCCCCAATTCTTTGTGTGGAATTTAAGGACTTGCCTGAGGAAGGAATCAGCTGGAAAATGGGGAAACCGTAATTCCTATGCAGAGCTCTCTTCCACCTTCTGCCTCAGCACTGCTTTAATGTTGACTGAAATCCTGGGATCCCTGGAGCTGGGCATCCTTTGGAGTGAAAAATTCCTGCATGGAAGTTCTTTCCACATCACTGGAAGAGCTCTGGGTTGCTTTTGCTGTTCAGCCTTTGTCTTGGAGCAACCCGATCTCATGGAAGGTGTCCCTGCTCATGGCCAGAGTGGTTGGAACAAGATCTTTTGCTCCCTTCCCACCTAACCGAGATCTTTGGGTCCCTTCCCACCCAAAACATTCCATGGTTCTGTGATGAAGCAAAACCCAGCCCTGAACACCCCAATTCTGCTCTGGTGGAGGGAACCAGCTCCACATGGGAATGACAGAAAGGTGACAGAGAGAGGCAGGAATGGGAATGACCAGGAGTGAGTTCATTCTCCAGCCCCATGGAGACACAGAGGAGACACTGAGAGCAGAGTTTTTCCATGCTTTGATGAATCCTAATTATGGTACTAAAGCTGCTGCTTCTGGAGGCAGTTTTCCAGCTCTTCACCCTACTTTGGATGCCAGGAATTCCTTCCGATCCTATCAAAAATCCTCTTTGCTGCTGCGTCAACCCCAGCACAAAAAGTGGGAAGAACAAAGCAGCCCGAGCCTTCCATTTGGAGGATCTGGAAGGTTCTCATCCCATCACACTCCACACTTCCCAGTGCAATGTGTAAGATTTTTCCATGGAGTGCAGAATTCCAGCAGGGCTTTGTTTCACAGTTTTTCCCAAAGTTTGACACGTGCTAAACTTGTGATCCAGCACATCTTCTTTTCCTGCCAGATTGCTGCGAGGGAGATTCCCTCATCCCATATTTGTGCCACATTAACTGGAGAGCTTTTTGTGCTTGTCCTTCCTAAATTACACCCTCTTTTCTCAACCTACCACTTACATTTACTGGAATCACCCAGAATTCTCCTGTTTGCAGATTCTCTCAGGTTGCCAGCCGTGAGCTCAGTGAATTTATTGTCTAATACATCATCCAAACCAGCAATTAAAACTTTGCATCATCCCAGAGCCAAGAGGAGCCTTTTAATGGATCATTCCAGCCTGACAGCAAATTGTTGGCTGTGGTTTGCTCGTGATTTCAGCCTGACTGGGTTTCCTTGGTTTTGCTTCTGAGCCCATCACGTCACACTGTGCCAAAAGCTTTATTAAGGCTGAGCTGTGTGACAGGTACCACTTTTGCCCTCACAGATTTTGTTATCTTCTCACAGGGAGGGATATCACCCACCTGTCACAAAATCCTCACTGATCATCCCTGCCTCCTTGATAACCCCTACACTGTTGATTGATGATTTATTTCAGAGCTTTTTTCCCCCCACTTTTGGTTTGGCTGCTCTGCATGTCCCCTATGCCCTTTATAATAATGGCTTATTTCCACATTTCTTCATGGAAAGGCTTTGGAGGTGGCACTCAGTGCTCTGGTCTGGTTGACAAGGTGAGGATTGGTCACAGGTTGGACTCAATGATCTTGGAGGTCTTTTCCAACCTAAATGAGTCTGTGATTTGTTGTTACCCAGTCTCCCAAAGCACCCAAATCTCCCTGTTGCAAAGAAACGGGAGCAGGAGAAACAGGCTGGGTTTGGTAGCTGTGATGCATTTCTTTTCCCAGTTTTCCTGGACACCACTTTGGCTGACAACCCCCCACTGATTTGCATATTTACATAGAAAACACTAATTTTATTCACTTTTGATGTGTTAATTAGTTCATCTCATTAATATATGTGGCAGCAAAGTGGCTCTTGCTGTTGTGTTTGATGTGGTTGTGTCTCCACACCTGTTTTCCCTCTTACTCCACACGTGGAAGCACAAACACAACTCCTGACTCTGCAAGTGCAGCTCAGAGTTGTGGCATTGGAAAAACAAATCCTACACTGAGGCTCCAAGAATCACCTGGAATTCTTCTCCCAGACAGCTCAGCCTGGAGAGTAGCAGCACCCAAACCTCACACTGGAAAAAGGAAATGGGACTGATTCAATCCATGGGGAAAAAAAGGAGATTTAGGCTTTGCTCAAAGCTGAGCCACAGAAGCCTTGATCTACCTGCACCTTCCTCCAGCCCAGGGAAGGGAGGAACCAGTTTAGAAAAGGAGCTGTGACTTCATAATCAGCCCATTCCTCACCTCCAATCAAGAAGAAGAGTTTTAAATTGTCCCTCTTCCTTCTTTATTTGAAAGAGTTACAGCAATCTTCCACTCAGAGGATCAGTGGTGACAAAGTCCATCCAGAATTCCCACCTCCAGATTTACTTTTCCGTGACCTTCAGCTCCCACAACTGGGAGCTTTCAGTCCAGGAGCTAGGTGGGTGGACAAGACAAGGAGTAAATCCTGTTAAACGCAATCCCTTCGCCTCCAGAGAATCAGCCGGGATAATCCCAGCTACTTCAGCTGCTTTGGCGTCCAGAAATTTCAGGAAGAGAAAGAGTTCCTCTAAATTTGTAGACAATTGCAGGAAACCACTCTCACTTGACCTTCTGGCAGCACACTTGGACTGCCGTGGTGAAAACTGGGGGAAAAGCTGGGAGTAAGGGTCTGCAAAAGATAAGAATAAAGTTCGTTCTCCCTCCTGAATGTGTCCATCCTCGTTCCCCACACCCTCACTGGACTTATCTCAATCCTCCATTTGTTCCTTCCCCCCCAGATGGTCTCTCCACCAAGATTTTGCTTTCTCGCGTCCAGTAAAACTGTTGAGATACAAATTGCTCCTTCTACTTCCTCGTTCTCCTGCCAATATGACAGGTGGTAAAACAATAACAGCTTTGGCCTGGGTCTCAACTTTCTTGGAGTTTTTTTAAAAGCACCTGAGGCCCAGCAGGGAAAAACCATGCAGGATAGGGGGACTTGGTCCTGGAGGAATTGCTCCTGGGATTGGGATGCAGCACAGCCACCGCAGCCCTACCAGTGCCTGCCCTGAGCAGCTGGACATCTCTTCCTTCTTTTTGGTTTAAAAACTTGTTCTTCCCCTTCTCCATCCTAACTTTCCTTCCCTTTTGAGGTTGTGTTTGGTGAGAGAAAATTACCGGCAGGTTCTGCTGTTGATTTGGTCTTTTGACATCTGTCATCTCCAGGCACAGCTCAGTGGGGTGTCAGTGTCCTCCTCTTGTCCCTGCCCACCACTGTGGTGTCACCTCCTTAATTTCCTTCATTTCCCCTCCATCCCTTAAACAGAATATTTAAAACCAGTCACCAGATCCAGAGCTCACAGCACAAAACTTGAAGTTGATGTGGAATCTTTTGTCCTCCTGGAAAACTGAAATCCAGGCGCTCTGAAACGTGAAACGCCTCAAAAATCCACATGTGCAACCAAAACAACCCAGCAGAGTTCCAGGGCAATGCTTCAGAGAAAGCAAAGATCTCATTTAACCATCAAACACAACAAAAAAAAACAAAAAACCCCGACACCCTTCAATTGTTTGGACCAGCTCTGGTTTCTCCCAGGACACAGCTGAGCTAGGGATGCTGCCAGCTTTTCCTTTTCTCTTTTTTTTTTTTTTTTTTTTTTTTTTTGTTATTTTTTCTGTGTGTTTTCCAGGAATGGGAGCTTGCAGCTGGGGCTGTGACCCAAGAAGCTCTGAGCTGTTTGTGTGAGTCCCTGGCTGGCTGCCCTCCTTCTTCTCTGTGACACCCTCAGGCCTCCTACAGAGCTTTTCTGTGTCCCCTCAGCTGCAGCTCCTGCGGGGAGAGGAGGGAGCGGAGAGCGTGGAGGGCAGAACCAAACAAAGCTCAACACAATCGATGGTTTCTCTGCCAGGAACGTGGCTCTGTAGAAAGCCTCTCACAGCCTCTGAATGACAGGGATTGGTGACAGCTGTGTGAGGTTGTTTTGGCCCTGGGGAGAAAAGAGGGGAATAGATACGGGGATGTCTTTTCCAGCTGGATGAGGTCCATGAGGAGGCAGTGTGAGAGCAGCTCCCAGCTCAGCGGGCTCTCCCCATTCCTTCCCTTCTCCCTCCCACCTTCCCACTGCCTTTCCTCTCTCAGCCACATGTTTCCCCTCTCTGCCTTTCCCCCTTTTCTCTGATGAGAGAAGCTCGTTCCAAAATGGGAATGGGAGGAAAGGCCCTGAGGAGCCAGAAATTTCTCCCCACTGAGGCTGGAGAAAAGTCCACAACACTGCCACAAATCAGCTTTACTTCCACCTGCTTGTTTATAAACAGATGTTTGATAACCCAAACTCGCTGTGAACAAATTCACTGATCATCCCCTGTGCTGACACGACTGTGGAGCCATTGCCTGTGTTTCAGGCAGGGTGGGATGTTATTCCTCACAGAGCTTTGAAAGTGAGAGACAAAACTGTGCCTTCAAGGATCTCCTCGGAGCAATAATGATTTGAAGCTTGAACATGTCAAAAAGGCCATTTTCTATATGTTTTCTTAGGTGAGTTGGATGTCTGGGGACACTTCGGATTCAGGCAGGCTCAGGAAATCAATGGGAGTTCAGCACCTGACTTATCCAAGCTCTCTCAAAAATCCCAGGGGAGAGCTCAACCACAAAACAAGAATCTCTGAGAGCAGAAAATTATTCTAGAGCAACAATTTTATTTCAGCCGTCATGGGGAGCTCTTCCAAACCCATCACAATCCGTATGTAAAGATGTAAGTGGCACTGGCCAGGACACCCAGGGACATCACTCCGTGGCTGCTTTGCCTGCTGCTGACTCCATTCACGTTGCACAGGGGTTTCTCACAGCAGGAAACATTCTGGGAGCTTTGGATTTGTTGCTGACCTGTTTCTGGACATGTTGGAGAACACATCTTGGAGATGACGTATTTGGGCTTGTTGGGCTCTAGTGCAGGAAATAAAAGTGAGGGAGAAAGGAGGAAAGGGAGGATGAAAAATAATTGTTTACATATTTTTGTGGCTAAATCTGTGTTGGTGAGTAAAGGAAGGCCAGGCACTAATCCTCAAGGCAAATTTCAGGGAATTAATCATAGAATCATGAAATGGCGTGGGAAGGCAACTTAAAAATCATCCATGTGATTGGTACGAATTGTATGCTTGTATACTTCACTATGTACAACAAATGATAAATAAGACCATCAAAAAAGTTCTTACTATCAAAAAAAAAAAAGAGGGGGAGATGTGAGAAATGGATTTCTAATGAATTCTCAAAACCTGACTGAAAGCTCACACAGTCTTGAGCATCTGTATGCAAACACTGAGATAAAGTGTGCTGACTTAGGAAGGCCATGGAACAGAGATGACATTGTTGAGAGAGAAACTGAACTAGAAACAAGTTTCAACAAGTTTTAAACTATGGCCTTGCAAAAACCCCACATGTTTTAGAGAATTATAACTGTGAAAGATGCATTGTAGCAGGACCATGTGGGGTAAAAATATAGGAGATTGGTATTAGAAGTATTAGCAGCACTGTGTGGCAAAAGCTAATAGGCTGAAAAACATTTATGAAGTATTGTAACCAGGAAATAGTTTGACTTCTGATAGAATGATGCTGAGTTTTATATCTTTTATGTCTCACCCTTCATCAAGACTGATAATGGAATAAAATCTTTTAAAATGCCTCTCAGTTGCCCTGTTTCTATAAAAGCCAGGAGTAATCCAACAGGCAGGGAAACCTCCCAACAGCCCAGGTAGCTCAGAGGCCAATCCAGCCTGGCCTTGGACACTTCCAGGGATGGGGCAGCCACAGTGCCATAGAATCCCAGAACTGTTAACGTTGGAAAAGGCCTTTAAGTTCATCAAGTCCAACCAGGACTTCTCTGGGCTCCATGTTTTTAGGTTTTGTCAGTCCTAACGTGGAATTAACACCTGTGGCTCTCAGCTCCAGCTGCCTGAAGTGATGCTCAGGCTGGGTCGTTCCCACCAGGGTGGTTTTTCCTACAGCATAAACACAGGGGGAACGTTCTGCACAATCTGAGATTTGGGATAAGAGCACGTGGAGGTCTTTGAGGGCACGGAGCCCCCAGGACAGACCTGAAGTATTGTGCTTGGCACAGGGAGTCAGCCACAGTGAGTGTTTGGCCAAAACACTTCTCAGAACAGTTCTGGGAGTGAAACACACACAGCTCCAGGTGTGAATGCACTCCCTGGCGCTGCTTCCTGTGTCCTCATCATTTCCCCAGTTTCCAGCAGGAATATCAAGGGTATCTGGACACTGCAGCAGCCACAAGGTCAGTGTTTCCTAAAAGTTGGTCATCAAGGCCTGTTGTTCCCATACTGGGATGAAATCCCATTCCTGGGACTGCTCTCCTACGAAACAAACAAGGTGTTGTTCCCAAACCTACTTGTCCTGACGTCCTTCCGGATGGTCACGCAGTGTTTGTCCTCCTTGGCACACATGGAAATGGTCAAACAGTCCTTGTTGGACTCCTGTTCTTGGCAGGTGTAGCACATGAATGGATAAACTGGGGTGAAAAAAAAAAAAAAAAAACAAACGGGAAAAAAGCACATTGCAAGGTTTAAAGGCTACAAAAACCCCACTGCAGAAATCTCCATTTCCCTCCTTACAGCCTGAGGAATGTTTCTGTGGGAATGACCAGTGACTTTCTTTATCTCCTGACCCGTGGCAGCAGCGCTAAATCCCTCTCTGTCTCCTCTGGCTCAGGCTGAGAAGTGTTATCGATCTGTTTGCAATCCCTGGGAGCAGGAGATGTGAGCAGAATTCGAGGATTCGGGGGCTTTTATGAAGGAGATTATTGCTGAGCCATAGCAGCTCGGTCCTGAGGGCTCAGCCACGGCAATTGCCAATTACTGCTCAGGGTTTCTCCTGGGCAGGGCTTGGCAGGGAGAATTTAAAGATGCCCGTAGCTTTTTGAGGAGGTGGACAATATCCAGTGTCCTACTTCTCTTTCATCTGGCTCAGAGACTGCTGTCACATCTCTTTTTTTTTTGTGCCTGAACGTCACTGAACTGGCCTAACCTCAGTTCTAGGAGGTCTGGTGAGAGCCCTCAGATGCTCTGTCAAACTCCTGTTTCTAGCATAAAATCGGGAATGGATGGAAAATCTTAACCAAAAGCTTGATTTAAGTGCTAAAGGCAGATTTGGTGAGATAATTCCTGCATCTGCAGCAGTGGCAGATGATTGGCAGGAAGGCCACATGGCATTTTCTGCTGAGAATGTGTGTGTCTGCCCTCAAAACCAGAATGTGGTAGGCCAGACTTCTGGAAAGTAGTAAAAAAAAAAAAGGAAGTGATGCCATGTGAAGGCTGACCTAAAACAGAGACTGGACAGAGTTAAAGAATAAAGTAGGGATTTATTAGAAAGCCTCAATGGATCCACCTTGGGCAGCACAAGAGCCCAGACAGGGCTACACCCAAGATGAACCCAAAATGGTCACAAAATGGATGACCAGTCACAGGGTTTCTCACTTTTATAAGTTCTGGTCCATTTGCATATTGGAGTTAATTGTCCAATTACAGCTATAGCTCATGAAGTCCCATCCTTCTTGTTTTCCTCTCTTCATTCTGCTGTTGTTTGTGCTCTTGGCCCTGACATTTGGATTGGTTGTCCTGGGTCCCCAGCTAGAGCAGGAATTGTTTTGTCTCCCTACTCTGTGAAGAGAGCCTGCTACCCTTAATATGAAGCTCAGAACTACACACTAAAGCAGCACAGAATCTGAAAAATATAAAAGCTAAAACCCAAGGCATCATAAGAAGAACAAAACCACCCCAAAACATGTGCAGAGCACTCCCCAGCCGGGCAGATGGAAAGGTTTAATAGTGGTGGTTGAGTTCAGAGCCTGTGAATCACCCAGAGTGAAGTGTGGGGTTTTGTGACTGAGTTCCTTTAAAAACAAAGCTAACTTTTGGAGGGAAACAAAGCCAGGTGCCGGCTGAGTTCCTGCTGAGTCTGAGGCCAGTCTGTCACTTTGGAAAGGGGAAAAGCAGCTAAAGGACACGTCCCTGTGAGCACGCTTTTGCCCGATAAGAAGTTGGCAGTGAGAAAGTGGAAGGACAGCAGAGGTCACACCATGAAACAAGAAGTTTCTGACAGGAAGGAAGGAAAAAGTCTCCAACTGTTGATCCTGTGCAGTTTTTTTTTTGTGTCACTCTCCTCTACAAGAAAGTTGAATTTTCATGTGCAGAGTAGAGGAGATTCAAGGAGGTTCTATGGAATTATTGGCACAACTTTGAATGATGTTGTTCTCGAGCCAGCCCAGGAAACACAAGCTGCTGAAAATTCCAGGGAATGGGTGCAAAGCCAGGCATGAAAACACCCTCAGAGGGTAATTCCCAAGGATTATTGGTCAAACCAACTGGAGCAATGGAAGAATTCTTCCCTATGAGAGCGGTGAGGCCCTGACAAAGCTTTCCCAGAAAAGCTGTGGCTGCCCCATCCCTGGAAATATCCAAGGCCAGGTTGGACAGGGCTTGGAGCAACCTGGGATAGTAGAAGGTGTCCCTGCCCATGGCAGGTGTTGGGATGAGGTGATCTTAAAGCTCCCTTTCAACCCAAACCATCCCGAGATTTTAAGTGATTTTGACAGATGGATGCAATAAAAGAGTGAAAAAGAAGATTGGATGCAATTAAATCGAGATAAATTGTCGCAGACGTCTTTTATGAAAAATCCTTTCCTTAGGATTTTTTCCTCCTGAGAAGCTGAGAGGCCTCAGGAACAAGATGTAAACAATGATTATCTGCTGCTGAGGAATGCAACAGGTGGATCTGTGATTGGCCCATCTTGGATGTTTGTAATTAATGGCAAATCACAGCCCAGCTGGCTCGGACAGGGAGCCGAGCCACAAACCTTTGTTATCATTCTTTCTGATTCTATTCTTAGCCAGCCTTCTGGTGAAACCTTTTCTTCTCTTCTTTTAGTATAGTTTTAACGTTATATATATCATAAAATAATAAATCAAGCCTCCTGAAACATGGAGTCAGATCCTCGTCTCTTCCCCAGTCCGAGAGCCCCTGTGAACACCGTCACAATAAACAAATTACAATAGATAAAACTTAGACACTTAAATGCAGGGTGACAAATAACTGGTCCAGTCACAATTCAGAACCACAGCGGCAACAGCAGGAGTCCACAGTGTCACATTCCAGCCACGGAAACAGGCGTCACCCGAGGGGACGTGGGCAGAAATGTCACGTGCAGGATACACAAAGTGGCCTTTCCACCCTGGCAAAGCCTCATCTGGAGCCCCGGTGCCCAAATCTCTCTGCAGCGCTTCCAAAAATGCAGAGCGTTTGGAGAGGGACCAGAGGAGAGGGAGGAGAGAAGGTCAGAGATCTTGGAAATGTGATCTCGTCAAAAAGGTTGGAAGGGTTTAGTTTGTTTGTTGAAAATTAGAATATGCTGGAGTCTTCTTCATGATGCAAGAAAAAGGACGCAGCAAAGAAGAAAGTAATAAAATATTTTATGTGTCCCATGGTGGAAATATGGGAGAACAGAACAAAAACAGATGCTAAGAGGTATTAAAATTAAATTCCTAAAGGGATCACAGTCTCTGAGCAATTCCAGGCTGTGGAATCTTCCTTGTTGGAAACTCTCAGGGACACCTTAAGCAAATAATCTGTCTGGTCTTGTCCAGCATTGCAGCAAGGACTCCACAATCTTAGAGGTCTTTTCCACCCTTAATGTGATTCTGTGAACAGGATCAAAACCTTTTATGATTTTTGCTGGACACAAAACTTACAGAACAGTGAGTTTATGGATTGAAAAGGCAAAAAAACCTCTTTGATCAGCTAAGATCAAGAGTTTTGACCAAAAATTTGGTCATTAGGGTCTTGGATGAGACCCAAGGTACCTGAGGAGGATAAAATGCCAGTTTCCACATTTTCCTTTGTCCCTGTTTTAGGCCAGAAAGCTGAAATCTCTCATTCTGGATCTAGGCTGGGCCACAGAAAGGTGCTGTGCAAAAGCCTGTCCTTAAATCCATTGGGAATCTGCTGCCAATATCAAATGTCACTGGTGAGGAATCCCACCATGAACCTGTGATCCTGGATCTCTGTGAGCTTTCCAATTCATCCTGGGTCGCACTGAGAATGATGCCTTTGAAAATTCTCCTCTCCTATCCATGTTACTTTGCTTCAATCGGGAATTGAGGGCACTAAATCAATTTTTTTTTTAATAATAATAATAATGAATAGTTATTTTCCCACACCCAAAACTGGCCGAAGGTCCTGCTCTTCCAGGCACGCTGGAGAACAATTCCAAAGGATGTAGGAGTAGGGGGTTGATACATGAGTGATAATTTATTAATTAGATGCCTCTTTCTCAACCAGATTCGTATCGTGGTTTCTGGGAAACCATCATGTGTGGGGGAAATTTTGGCACTCTGGTCATCATTCCCGCGTGCCAGGAGCGATGGAGCAACGCATGTGTCTCACTCCCAGAAGGAGGACAACACTTGGGAGCAGGATGCCTTTAACATTAAAAGATCTTTCACCTCTGCCGCTGATTTAATCTACAAAAAATTCCCAGCGTTGCATTTTCTAGGAAGACACGTGGCAAACCACTAGAAGGGAGGAAGCAGCAGGACAGAAAAGTCTCTAAAATACTCAAAACCTGAAATTATTAAGGGGGGAAAAAACTCATTTTGTTATGCTTTCTATCACTTCCAGCTTGCCTTCCTTTTGGAAGATCCCAAGGACCACAGTGTGGGTTTAATGGTTGGAGCACCACCAGAGCTCCAGCACTGCAAAAAAGAATCAATTAATCAGATTCTTATTTAGGCATCAAATCACTGACTGAGGTGCAAAAGGACATTGGTGACACCATCACAACACTGCAAAGATGGTGACAGCCCTCTAGAGTTTTGCCATGTGGAAAACTGTCACCACCTTCCCTCTAATCCTCGTCTCAAGCAGGAGCAGCACGAGAGGCTCACCTTGTTCCACACAGAGCACAGCAGCCAGCAAGGTGACAAGAGGAGTCCTCATCTCCAGCAGATCCTCCCAGCAGCACTGGGAAGCTCTTTGGAGGGCAGGTTTTATACCCCAGCCCAACAGCAGCAGCAGTTTTACAGGTTCCAGGTGGACATGAAATCAACCCGAGGGTGTGGAATGCTCATGTGTGGGAGTTTTCCACACCAGGGCCCTTGGAAAGGGCTGGCACCTTGGGGAAAAGCCCTCTCAGCCACACATTTCTTGCTCTTCCGGTCGTGTAAGTGATGGGAAGTCGGGATCTGCTCTCTCCTCCTCTGAATTTTTTTCCTTTCCTCCCTTCCAGAGCTGCTGCTCTGATGAAAGCAGAGCCTGGAGGCAGAGGGAGATTGTCCTAGGAATGAATTTTCCTGGTCCCTTTGCATAGACAGCACGTGATGTTCCAGGGTTTGCACCATTCATTGGCTTTAATTATTCAACAGCACCAGACTCGGCCTCTGAGCTGGCCTAAGCTGGTTTACCTCAAAATCAGTGTGCTTTACACTAAATTAAATTAGCTAATGGTTGGTTAAACAGAAGATTTGCCTCAAATTTTCATGTCAGTCTTCATTTCTTTATCAATTTTCCTCTGGTTAATCCCTCTGCTCGGTCTTTTTCCTGCTTGTAATCCTCCAATACCTTGTACAATTTTGATTTAATGAAGTTTTGCTGCTATCCAGGGATTCTTTAGAGGAGCTGCTTTTCTCCACGCCCAACAGTTTCACGAAATCAGGCTCCCATTTCCAAGCCCACAAATTGGCACCCTGGAATTGCAGCTCTGCTCTGGAAAGAGCCATCTCTCAAAGTGTCATTTTTTCAATCTCTCCTCTTAAATCAACCCTTTTGCTTTTATTCCTCTGTGTTGTTCCTCTCCTCTGAATTCCTTAAAATCTGTTCACGACAGTCTGGGATAGAGACCCTCATTCAAGAGGCATCTTGTAAGAGCTTGAGCTGCCAAGTCCACAGAGCTTCTTCTAAAACAAGATTAGTCCTGGACAGAAGAAAGAAAATAGTGTCAAACCCCGCTTTTTTCTGGCAATTACGGAATAACTTAACTGGCAATTCCCTGCACGTAGCCATCAGCAGGGCATTTTTGTTTCTAACATGAATCATTCCAACCCTAGATGATTTACAGATCCATGTGATTTTCTGATACTTTTTTCAGGCCCTCCTGATGCTTGAATCACGTCATCAGGTGGTGAATTCCAGAGTTGTTCAAGCCCTGTGTCCAAACAGACATTCCCTGGGTTTTGGAGGTTGGTGAGGTCAGTGGTGATGATCAAATTGAGCCTTGTGCTTCACCCAGGACAACTTGGTCCTTTGCCCCAGTGTTTTGTAAACAGGTTTTTCTCCCTCATTAGTGGGCGTGGCTCCTTGCTGGCATTTTGCAGTGAGGCTGAAAGAACCTTTTTTTTACCCTTATTTTTGGTCTTATTTATCCCATAAACTTGTGTTTATTCCTTTCCCCTTCCATATCCCTGCTTCTGTTGATTTCCATAGAATCATAGACTAAGTTGGTAGGAAGGGAGAAAAAAAAAACATCTTGGACCTTAAAAATCACTTCATGTCATGGGCAGGGACACCTCCCACTATCCCAGGCTGCTCCAAGCCCCATCCAGCCTGGCTTTGTTGACTTTTCCAACATCCATTTTATTCCCACATGAATCTTCTGGGAATAGGATCAGCACAAGTCAGCTTTGACTTTGACTTTGATTTTGATTTTGACTTTGACTTGGACTTGGACTTGGACTTGGACTTGGACTTTGAAGGAGCAGTGAGGCTGAAACATTCCCAGCACATCCAATAAATATGTACTAAGTAGAGGAATTTGGGTGGGAAATGGGAAATTTTCTGAGTTTTCTGGGAGCTGTCTCCAGGACATGAATGTCTTCCTTAGTACTGTGGTTCTGAGGTGCCTTGGAATGCTGGAGCATTCCCTCTTCCCGGTGCATGGAGGGTATGGAAAAGAGATTTATTTCCCAACAGGGCAGATTACAAAACTCAAAAGCACTCAGAGGCATCACTCAGGGATCCAGCATGGAGAGGGTGTCTCCTGCAGCCTGGGATCACAGCCTGGAGAAGGGCCTGGAGCAGGGACACCAAGTGAGGACTAAATTGAGGAAGACTGGGGGAGAAAAAATCCCCAAGGAAGCTGAGTCACTTCTCTGGAGTAATCTTATTATCCATACAGGAAAATTAAAGTGGATCAAATTGGAGCCATGAGTTGGCAGTGGACTCAAATTGGAGCCATGGGTTGGCTCCGTGACAAGGAAGCAGCAGTCAGCTTTGGGAAAAGGGTTGCATTTGTCCCTTTCCATGGCTTCCACAAGATTTTTAGACCCACTGAGGGTGCTTTGACCTCTTGCATCCATCCTGTCTCTTGCTTTGGCATTGAGGCACTCTGTTGGATCCGGGCAAATAAATAGGGAAAAGGGGGAGAAATTTCATGTTGTGGGGGAAAAGGCTGGGGAATTATTCAAGGAGAGCAGCAGGCAGCACAGATCCTTCAAAACCAATGGTGGGAAAGACCCTAGAGAGGGAAAAGAAGGGCCAAAGTTAAAGCACCTTCTGCAGATGCCTCATTCAGGCAGGGAAAGGCCTCCTTGGCTGATCCAGGTCCTGGCGCAGTGACTCAGAGCCCTGAAAAATGACTTTTACATAATCCACGAGGAGAGAGAGGCAGTTACCTCCCAGGATCCATCCCAGCTACTGGAATGAGGCTCCCATCTCCTTCCCAAAAGCCCTCCAGGCATCACAGATGTCTCTGCTCGTGGGGCAGCTCAACGCTGCCATGTGAGGAGTGTGCAGCCATGGGAGGCACCAGAAACCCGGGGTGATGGAAAGATTTGGAATTAGGGAGCAGCACCCGCGTGGGAGGTGCCAATCAGGATTTCTCAGGAAGGCTGGCAGAGTCTCCTCTTACACAACAATCCAGGGGGAGGGTTCACCACAGGAGCTCTCGTGTTTTTAGGACCGCCTGTGCCTCAGGGAAGTTGCTGCTCCCGCCTCCAGATAAGGGCTTTGGGACATGGGTCAGCTTTGGAGCACATGGACGCGTTTCAGTTGGGCGCTAGGGAAGAACCTGTGGGGTCAGGGGGAAATTAGGCAAGAAGGAGGCAGCCAGGATGGAGCAGCTCCCTTAGGGATGGCACTTCTGGATTCCCAGAGCTGTTTATAACTTCTCCATGCAACAGCTCCAGGGGCTGTCGCACGTGCTTCCGTCCCCTTTGCCATGCCAGGATTCTTCCCACCCCAAAACAGAGGCACCTGCCAAGCTCAGGCAGCTCAAGACATGACCTTGATTTTAAACCTGGCTGCCAAGGGCAGGTCTGGACTCCCAAGCTTAGCAGAACAAGACCTGAGGCTCTGCCAGCCCCATCTTGGCCTTTCCCTGTGCCAGCCATTGTTCCTAAGGAATCCTGAACTTGTGGAGATGGCACGGGATGAAGATTATTCCAAATAGTTCAGTTGTCACCATGTTAGGAGCGGGATGTGGGGCAGAATATGGCCAGCCAAGGTCACAGAATTGGCTTGTTTGGGGTTTTTGGATCTGTGTCACTTGACTATCCCTAAATTTGGCAGGAAAGGGTGCAGGGTGAGGAGAATAAATCAGGCAGATGAATGGAGCCAGCTCAGCTGGGATAAGTAATAAAATCTGTGGGGAGAATGGGGAGACTTGTGGCCAAAATCAAAGTATCCTTGGCCAATCTTGCATTTACACCAAGGAAGAAACAATGAGTTGAAGCAAGGAAGTAGAGGTTGGATGGAAAAACCCAGAGTAAGACTGGAGGAATTAGCCAACAAGGAAATCTGGGAGAGAAAATCACCAGGGAATGCAGAGCTGGGGTTGGACATGGATGGGAGGAAGGTGAACAGGAAGGGGTCAGAGCAGATTGGGATGAGCTGGAGCCACGAGCCCAGGTTTCCTCTGCACAGCTGCTGTGAAGAACAAAGGTGTGGCTGTTCTTGAGTGTTGTTGTTCCTCTAATCCCAGAAAATGCCTGTCAGAATGAGCAGTACATGGAGCTGTGCAAGGAGCCTACGGAGAGAAAACCAGCTGGGTGAGCTGCACCCAACTGGTTTCCCTGGGAGATCTCCCTGGGGATGATCCCTGTGGAGAGCTCCTTCCTCCCAGGAGAAAGCAGTTCAGCCTCCCTGGAAGGGTCAGAGAGAGCAAACCTCTCATTCTTAAGATTATCCACAAGGAAGGTCAGAGCAGGGTAATGAATCCCTTCAATTTTAACTTGATGAGCAAACATAAAAGGTTTATTTGCAGTGTGGATATTTTTTCACGGATGAGTCTGAAAAATTCCAGGTTTCTTTCCAGAAACCATCTGTCTTTTCCTACAACTTTCCTTTAAGCGTGGTGCAAGATGCTTTTTTCCCTTTTCTAAATAATCCTAACGCTTCTAAAGGAACTTCCACTGGGAGATCTTAAACCAGTTTGAAGAAAATGCTCCAGATCCCTTCCCTGCCTTGTCCCCTCTGTTTCCAGGAGAGCTCAAGAGCCATTTCCTTCCAGGCAGCTGACCCAGGAGAGGAATTGAAAGGAAGTTAAATAGAATTCAGTTTATTCCAAAATGGAGTCACAAAAATGCCATTTCTGCCAGTGCAGAAAAAATAAAATCTGGGGAGAGGCTTCCTGAAGTGAATGCAGAGTAATTTTAATATATTTCAGCATTATTCCCATTTAACTTGCAGGCGAAAATGCCTCTGCTTTTATCCCAAAACATGGATACATCCAGCAGCTATGCCCAGTGTGCCACACCACGCAGCCACACAATAGAATAAAATAACACTTTATTGTGCCCAGTTTCTGTTTAACAACTGGAATATTAAAGGCTTTCTCAGAGCAAAATGATACAGGGTGGAAAACGGAGGGAAAAAAAATTGGCACAAGAGACTGGCTGGGATTAAATGAAAGGCAAAAATTGCATGGAGTTATAAATGCCAGGAGTAGGAGAGATGGTGGCCACATGGGGCATTCTGCACCTGCAGGGCTCCATTTTACCCCTTTT